GATACGTAGGGGAAGAACAAAAAGGGAAAAGAAAAAAATGTGAGAGAATGAAAAGATGAAAATAAAGTGTTTGTAGATGGGGAGGGGAGGAGGGGGTGAAGGGAGGGCAGAGGTAAGGGGAAAAAAATGAGAATCAAGACTTGCCATGTAAAGGTACATGATCCCAACAATGAATGTAACTGTACTGTATCCCTAAATGTACCAATAAACTCAATTAAAAAAAATAAATAAATAAAAGATACATGATAAATTACAGCAAGCACAGAGATAGATCTTTTGCAAAGGAAGTGGGCAAAAAAATAGAAGGAGGAGAGGGAAAGGAGATAAAAAAGAATTATAATATGTACATGTACTAACTTCCCATGGTGAATGTAATAATTATGTAGTACAAGCATGTCCAGATAAAGACAAAAACTTTAAAAAGAAAGCTGAAAAAGACATTTGCAGGAAAGAATTTCTCAGATATCTGAAGAGCAGATGATTTCATTTTGGAAGAGTCAAAAACTACAGAGTGTATGAGGGAGTTGTTCAAGGAAGGCAATCAGAGAAAAGACCAAAAAGACCTGTGCTCTCCTCTGCCTTCTCTTCTCTGTAGGGTGGTTCAATCATGAAGGAGTAAAACCGTTTAGGCTCTCAGCCTGTTCTTTTTTATACTCACACTGAAGGAAATAGGAACAAATTATCAAATGAATGAAAGATGGAAATGTCTCCTAAAGCTGGTGGTAAATTAGGAGAACTAAGGGGAAAACGTGAAAGAAATAAACATGCTAAAATCCTGAAATAACATAGTGGTTAAGTAAATTATGAAAGATGTATAGAATCAACAAAGTTTGGCAACCAAAATACACACACACACACACACACACGTACAGGTGTGTGTATCATTCTATATAAAATAATGAGTAGTTTATAATTTACTGTAAGCAAACAGTAGCTGTTCAAAGTATGACTATAATGTGACATCATAGTAGTTTTTAAAAATTTCTAAGTGCACAGAAATATGTCCATAAACATATATACCTGCTTAAGACATTGAATCCAGGGGCCAGGGATGTAGCTCAGTGGTTCTACCACCTGCCTCATGACTGCAAGGACCTGAGTTCAATCCCCAGTACCAAAAAAGAAAAAAATAAAACTGGAATGCAGGCCTTAAACATGTCAGGAAAGCACTCTGTTCTCCAACTTCACAACCAGTCCTATGTAAATTTATTAATAGACTGAATCTAACAATTTTGGAACTGTAGGTTAAGCACATGTGTAGTTTTTCTGCTATAAATATTTCACAGTTTCAATAGTTGTCACTGTGATTTTTTTTTACAACTTATAAAAGAAAATAACTTGAAAGCAAATGATTGCACAATCACATGCCTGTTATCTCCATTATAAGATATTCATAGAATGCCTAGGTCAAACAGGTTCAGGTTGGGTTCCTTTCCACAGGGCTATTTACCTTTCAGGGTGGAATTTATCAGGTTCTGGCCAGTACTTTGAGTCTCTTTGAAGAACAAACATTGGTACCATCACCGCTGTCCCTTTGGGAATGAACACTCCATTGATTTTAACATCTTTTTTACACATCCTGAAAATTCGGCTAGAGATTGGATATAATCTGAGAGTTTCACTCACGACCATATCCAAATATTCCATCTCCGTCATGACATCATAGGTAGGAAATGCCTAGAAAGAATCATATCTTGGTTATTGGAGATTTGGAATTAACGTGCAATGCAGTCTGTGTAGTACTACTGAAGTGTTAGGAGCTCCAAACATACATTCATACTGGTAAAGGGCACAACAGTTAAAGAGCATTTCCATAACTATCTGTGGTGCATTGACCAGAGGTATTTATGAGATCAATATGTAGAGATAATCTACTTTTGGAGTTACACCTCCAAAACCTCTTGGAATGAAAGGTTATAGACTAAAAGGTAACCAACAGGGCTACAAATCCAAGTAGGATCCAAACTCACTACCTGAAAGAGTGAATGCTCTGGCTGTCATCCTCCCCCATACTCTGATATATTGCTTAGATTGACTCTAAAGTCAGTCTAGTAACAGACCACTCTAACCTTATTGTGTCCTTCTTCTGTCCATTCCTTATCCCCTATGAATTCATGCAAAGAAATCTTTCTTTGTACTCTGTCTTTGTTTCCTGGTTCTATCAATAAAAACCCACAGAAGCTTCTCTTTGGGGAAGGGTTTATGAAACTTTCTCCAGAAGAGTAGGATCTCTGGGCCTTCATGGATGGAACTGGGTATTTGCTCCAAGTAATCTTTCATTCCTCCCTGTGCATTAGAAATGAACTTCAAAAACCATCATATTCATTGAACTTCTGGAAGGCCATTGAAATGTGGGCTGTAGTTATGAATGTAGAATACATTTGAGACAATCTCTGCACAGGTCCTAAAATCCCTAGTCTTATCAAGAAGTGATTTTCTTTTTCATATGAGGAAATTTGATTAATAGACTATGACAATCACACAATAGAAACTATGCCAAAGACAATACTCCCTTTCAAAGAGAAGCCGCACATAATGGAACATGGAGAGAAAAAAATTTATCATTCCAGTCTCACTATGTTGCCCAGGCTGAGCTGGAATTTACAATCCCACAGTAACAGCCTCCTAGGAAAGTAGAATTAAAAATGTGCATAACCATAGCCAGCTTTTATCAAGCTTTTTAATTCACAATATGTACTAGTAATACCTTTCATAACATACATGAGATTTATATATTTATACATAAATATTATATTAAATATTGTATGAATACTTGGAGAAACTAGTTTCTTTTGATTCCATTATGCTAAAAGACGTTTTGATTTGATGCTATCATGGCAGAAAACTTCAATTCTAATAAAAGCTGAAGCAAGCTGAGAACCACACTCAGCCCAATTATTTTTCACTTGACCTGTCACCTGGTTGGTCCTTCAGGGCTTCACTGTGAACACTGAAGAAGATGCTTTGTGTCTACTTCATTGCCAAAAGAGCCATGCCAACCCCAGAAATGAGCAATCTTCCCACTACACAGCTCCCCATTTGGAAAAGTCTGAGGATAATGTGGACACCATGTGTTTATCACCTGCTGTGACATTGAACAGGTTACAATATAGAGTTTAAGAGTTTTTCTCAGGGCCAAAACTCTATAACATACCTTGATTTCCTTATGTCTCACTACATAGCTGGACTTTGTGAATGTGTAGACAGAGCTGAGTCATCCTGCCCAGCCCAGCCAAGGCCAATCCTGTTCAACCAATAGCCAGGCCATGAATAATAGGAGCAGGGATCTCTATCTACACACTTGAGCAATGAAAGTTCACTGCTACATGACATGGAGATGTTACCATTACTGTGGTAACAGACAATGGATATGCCAGGACCAGCACTGTCTTACAAAGTTTTTAGTTTCCTGCAAATACCACTTATTTCTTATGTTTCACCCCTTGTTTCTAACTGTGGATCCTTTTTACTTGTAAATAGTGCTGGTGAATAGTGCTGAAGCTGTGTGTTAAGATTCTTATTGGAAGTGAGGAAGAGGGCTTCTTCTTCAGTACTGACTTCTTCCCTCTCCTTCCACCGACCGTCTGTACACTCACCTTATTCGGCAAAGTAGTATCAATCTCCTGCTGCAGTTTCTTCTGTACATCAGGGTGAGTGGCCAATGTATGCATAATGAAAGAAAGAGCGTTACTAGTGGTCTCATAGCCAGCAAAAATAAAGATAATTGATTGTGCCAAGACCTCTATATCAGACAGAGCTACAAGAAAAGGAAATAAATTTCAGGTGAAACAGATCAATGTAGAACAACACTGTTTAGATCAGAAAAGTACAAATAAAGATCCCACATACCTAGAAAGAAACAGAAAAGCAATTCAAAGTCATGCTGGGACTGGTTTTCACTAAGATGTCTATCTCACAGGACTAGAAAACTGTGGAATTATTTTAACTCAGTTTCACTGGTGTCTATAGTACTCTTAGTCATCTCCCAAATTTCATTCTCTCCTCACCACATCCACAGCTACATAATTTCATGAATTTTCATACATTGGATGAATTCTATGTATGAGAATTATATCTCAGTGAATTTCTTACCATTTATTTTTAAATTCATGAGTGATAAAAACAACGGTTGACCAACTCAAGGAGAAAAAGATATTTACACTGTCAAAGCTGTTTACCTCAAAGCTTATTCATTAGGAAAGTGAAAATTATGTCTTTATAATGAAGTAACCTAGTGTACCTACTTTCACAAAGCATTCCCAGTGAACATCACAGCTACTCAGGAACTAAACCTCTGATTGAATTTCTAGATGGAAATTTGCAGGCAGAGTTTCGTATGCCCTGAGTATGGATGGGGATGAAAATCATCACTATTGGTTTTGAAGTAGGTGATCCTAACAACTTCCAGCCTTGAAATGCTTGGTTATGGTTACCCTTCAATCTTTGAACATACTTAAGCCTGTATGATTCCAGATAATACCTCTGGCTACCATATATAGTATCTGAGTTTCTGTCCTTTTGAAATTGGGCAGAAATGCCCCTCCACCTGGAAACCCCCTTGCACTCTCCCAGAGCAACCTCCTCTCTTGGAGTTTTGCCATCAGTACACCATAAAATATGATCGCTTACCTTTATGAGACTCAGTGTCTTTAGAATTCTGGGAATTCATCATCAGCTGAAGAAAATCCACTCGTTGCTATAAGAAAGAGAAATTTCAAGGACAGAAGATCAATGGTGAGGTCACAAGTAATACAACAGTGCAGAACTTCGCCTCCCTTCTCATTATGGGCCGTTCACGTCCAGAAGTTTAGCTGAGTCAGGAGTGAAGGACACTATCCACCAGCACATCTTGGAGAATAGTATATTTCCTTGAGAGAAAATCACCTTTGGGCTTTTGCTCTCCCAGATTCTCACTTTTTCTGGTTTCTCAACAAAGACTTCTGGCCATACAGTTACTTCTTTCCCAATCACGCCTGATGGTTCAGGAAGAACTCGTGGACCACAATACTTTCTGTCCTCCTGCCTTAATTCTTAAACCAATGGCCTATAGATTACTTGACTGCCATTTGCAGCCCTCATTATGTGATCATCTTCATATATTCAACATTCTCAGAACATTACAAAATCCTCAGTAACATCTAGAGTACTCATCCTATCACCTTGTCCCGCTGACATCCTTGTGATGGGCTTCAGCCCTCCTGAAACAAAGCTGGGTTCCCTAGCATTAAAGATCTATTCCTAGAATACATTCCAGCACATTCCAGGCTAAGAGAGAAATTCATATTTAACACAAACCAAACCACCAGGTTCCCTGGCAGGGGCATCAATTGGAAAAGGTAACACGTAAGATGCTTCAAATTGAAATAATTTCTTATCAAGGTAAGATGGAGCAGTTTAGACTACCAATAATTGCAGTTTTTAAACAGTAACTTTGTTCCTTTAATAATTGGGGGAAGGAAATTGCTAAAGCTACTATTTTAATACTTCTGGCATGACACACTAAATTTTTTCAACACTCCTAATTTTCAATGTCAAACTCTCTCTTTCTCTGACTCATTATCATTCCTACTCCCCAAATGCCACCATTTTAGTTCCTGAAAAATGCAAAAGCTCTGCTGCTCTAAAACTAGATTCTGTGTTAAACAGAGATGTGTACAGATCACATGTCTTTATGGCTTGCATTTATATGTACCTACAAAGCCTCGTGCTTTTTCAGAGGTGGCTAGATATAGAGTGGTTGATTCACTGTGGGACTAGACCCAAGGACACAAAAATTAAGGGAGGGAGTGCTACCTTCCCTAAGTAGTCTGAATAGGATCACAGGGTCAGAAAGACTCTGCTAAGGTTTCCTGTTGTTTTGTTTCCATTTGGCACCTTGAACTTTTTCTCCTCTGTGATATTCTTCTGCCATTTGGCACTGTTCCTGGGAACCAACTGATGCTGGTCTGAAAGCATTACAGAGTGTGAACTAAATAAATGACTTCCCCTTTAACTTTGGGTGTCACGTATTTTGTCTCAGCAATGAAAGAAAGTTGACTAAGAAAGAAATTTGTTATCAGAGAAGTGGCATCACTGCTGTGACATTACCTAGCTATGTGGGACAAGAGCCTTTGGAACAGGTTTGTGAGAAAGGAAAGAGTTAGGAATGGCTTGGAGATGCCAGATTAAAAATGTAGAGGTGGAACACTTTTGGCTGTTCTGTATGAGAGATTCTGATCAGAGATCAGAAGGCCAGAAAGCTGCTAAAGACCAGACTCAGGATGTTTCATTGGAAAAAGAACTGCATTGGATGTTGAACTCCAGATGATGTGTGTTATATCTTGGCAGAAAGTTTTTCTGCATTTTGCTTGTTTCCAAAGACTTTGCCTCAGACTGAGATTAATGGCGGTTGACTAATTTATCTCATGGAAGAAATTTCAAGGCAGGCTAATGTTGAGGCCATGGCATGGCTACTCTTGGGAGCGTTAGCCAGATCTATGTTAGGAATCAAAATGAAATAGGCCTTCAGAATGGTTTAAAACATTTTGAATTGGACCCAAAAGGAAGCAAAGTAAAGCTCTGGACTGCAAAGATAGAGCAGAGGAGATCTTGATTGCTGGGAAGGAACAGGAGAATAGAGAGATGGGCTGAGGGCATTAGAAGAACCAGCAGAACTCCACCCTTTGCAGGCTCAAAATTATAAATGTGAAAGACTTTTTTGAGAGGAGAGCTCCAAGGTCCCTGGTTCCAGAATGGAAGTAGCACCACTAGGTTCCAGAAGAGTGGCAGCCTAGAGAATTTGTTCCTCAGAATTGAATTCAGAGTGCTCAGTGATCCAGGTGCTCAGCTCCTACAGTCAAAAGAGAAGAAAGCCTTTACTTTACTACTCTAGCTGTCAGATGAACTTGACATCATCCACATGGAGCTGGTTTCCAGTGCATGCAGAGTGCCAGAGGAGTAGGATCAGCAAGGCTTCCACCCAGATTTCAGAAAAAGGACTAGGAGTCCAGGCAGTATGCCCCTGAGAGGGCAGTGTGAGAAGATGTAAGTGTGAAGCGAAAGGTGCAGTGGAGACCGCAGAAGTTTGGAAGTCCAGAAGTGTGGATTGTCTGAGGAAAACTTCTAGAAGGAAGCAGAGCCAGCCCAAGAAAGAAGCTGTAGGAGCTGCAACCATCTGCAGTGCCATAGGGCTTGAGCCACATGAGGCCTCTCAAGCTTACAACTTGCCACAGATTGTGAGAGATGCTGGAAGTGGAACTGTGGGATTTAGTGTTTGCCCTGATGGATTTTTGACTTGTTTAGTTCCCATTCTTTGCTGTGTCCCTGTTCGTAACTTAATAGAAATATCTATCTTGTGCCATAGAATGTTGGAAGTATTTAACTTTCTTTTCATTTGTAAAGAGGCTTGCAGCTAAGAGTTTTCCTTCACTCTCAGAAGAGACATTGGATGTGGAATTTTCAGCAATGCTGAAACTCTTAGGACTTTTGCAACTCTTAGAGATGGTAAAGGTCTGTTTTTTTTTGTTTGTTTGTTTGTTTTTTGCATAATGGGACATGCATGGGTCTTCATGGTACAGAATATTATATCTTGTGTTTAGATTTTTCCCCAAAGCCTTATGCTGTTTCAAGGATGGCTGAATATAGAGTGGTTGCTTCCTGGTGTGTGTAGCTCCAAGGGCAGTAGGATTAAGGGCAGCAGTAATACCCACCCTCAGACGTCTGAATAAGATAAAGGGGGCAAAATCACTGTGCTAAGGACCTTTGTTGCTTTTTCTGTCTTCCACCACCATGGACTGTTGTGTGCCACCCTGCCTCAGAGCCCACCAATTATGGACTGAAACCTCTATGAACTGTTAGCCAAATCACCCCTCCCCATTTAACTTTGGATATCAAATACTTTCTACCAGCAATGAGAAAAGTAACTAAGACATACATATACATATACAGCTTGGAACATTATTAAAATGTTAACATCCTCAAGTCACCAGTAACATCACCACCACATTTTACCTTCTGGTTAGGTTCCAGGCGATTTTGTTTCATCTGTTTTACAAATTTTGTGAAAAATTTCAAAGAATCCCGTGGGAATGTAGAGATATTTAACATTTCATATACTGGAGTGAGGAATGGAAAGAGTACTGCACAGAAAGAAGACACAATCTTTAATGAAGATGGAAAATTTACTTCTTTCAATTGTACTTTTCTGAAACAATCAAAAAGGTAAAAATCATCAGTCTCAACCAAGAGCCATTTTCTCTGTGACTCAAAATCTCCAGGATGTCAGATAGCAAGGACTGAGCAAGTGCTAATCAGACAGAAGGCCACCAACACAGTGGTGAGGTCAGTGCTCCCTCCTTCACTTTGGAGTGAACAAAAGGAAAGGAGTTAAATTCCCTACCTTTCCTGCTATTTTAAGAGCAATGAAGGACAATTGAATACAAATCATAACTCCAAATGAATCAAAAATATAAATATATGGGCTACAATCATGCAAGTATTAGAAGAAAGCCAAGGGAGAAAATTTTCATGATCTAAGATACACAGTGTATGGATAACTATCCATAAAGCAAGGCATAAATAAAATTGAAAATTACATACATTGTACATCATCAGAATTGAAAATTATAATTCAATAGACACTGTCAGCCAAGTGAAAAGACCCCTACAAAATAAGTGAAAAAAATTGCAAGTCATGTATCTGGTAAAGGAATTATACCCAGAAAGAATAAACAAATCTTATAACATAACAAACACAAATATTTCAGTTGCTGTCAAAGTACTGGATCACATGTTTATCTTTCGAAGATATTGCACAGAATTCTCATCAGGAGAAGAAAACCAAAACCACAGGGTTATATCATTTCAGACCCTTGAGGATGGCTGTAATTGGCATCAGGCGAAAGTCAAAGGTTGGATGAGATAGGGACAAAGTGAAAATATTTCATCAGTTCCTTAGAAAGTTAAGTAGATTTACATTGCAATTCGGCGATACCACTCTTGAATATGCAACCAGAAAGATTGAAAACAGGCATTTAAACATAATCTTGTAAACAATTGCTCACTGCACAATATTCACAATAGCCAAAATGCAAAAAAAAGTCTCAAATATTCATCAATTAATGATTAATTGATAAGCAAAATATATTATGTATATGATATAGATTATTTGTCAAAAAATGAAGTATTTAGTACATATTTCACTTGAAAATATACTGCAAATGAAAACATCCAGTCACAAATGACCTAATGTCGTATGACTCCATTGATATGAAGTGCCTAGAAAAGCCAAATCTGCTTAAACAAAGAAAATCAGTGACTGCTTAGGGTATAGGGCCTGGGAGTTGAAAGTAAAAAGGTACAATATTTCTAAGGTGAGGAAAATATTCCACAATGAACAATGCTGATGAATGCAAAATTCATTGAATTTTTCATTTCTAGCGTGTAAATTGTATGATGTGTGAGTTATATGTCAATAAACTATTACAATAAAAAAGGCAGGTGGGACTATAATAAGCAAGAACTATAATAATCTACATACCTACGGAGAAAAGCAAGGGACGAAAAAAATCCAAATTTATGAGCTTCTTGGCTTTTACCACAAACGGATCATGTGGGTTGTTGAGAGAATCAACATTCACCCCAAAAGACGTTGAAGTGATCACATCCATGCTGTAGGCCCCAAAGACTCTGAGTGGAGAAAGATGGAGAAAACAAAAGTCTGTATCCCTTCCACTACAAATTCTTCCAATAGAGGGACTCATAATATACCAGCAAGACAGGCAGAGACCCACACAATGCCACACTGTCTGCTAGACCAGCAGAACATTCTGCTCATCTCATGCTCACTTGTGGGCTACTTATGAGGGAGCCTTGATACAACCGCCATTGTTTTTGGAGTGATGGGGAAACTAGGAGACTTAGACTCAGAACTTGTGGGGCTCCATTGAAGACACAGAGACCCACAATCAGACACACTACAGCAGTGTGTGTGGAGTGTAGAAGATAATAGATGTGTGAGCACCATGTTTTGCAGGACACAGGAGAATGAGACTCTCACTGGGGACTCAAAAGGTGACACTGATCTAGGTCTTGTCTCATCACAGAGTGTGCCTTGAGCTGATTTCTCTTCAGCATATCACACAACAGCAACACCCCGTTCTGAACAGCTAGGAAGATCATCCCTCCTCTCCACATCCCCTGCTGAAGTTTCTGATAGATCTGCTCCTCCCATAATACAGGAGTGGGGGTTTGCACTGAGGGCAAAAGTATTTTGTTATAATGTAAAAAAAACAAACAAACAAGAATTATCCTTATTAACAATAAATATATTTAGCTTATGATGACATGTGCTTGTCATCTCAGCACTTGGGAGGCTGAGGCAGAAGGATCATGAATTTAAAGCCAGCCTGGATTACACAGTGAGTAGAAGCTCAGCTGGGACTACTTGCCAAGACCTTGTCTTCAAAAACCAATATTGAAATAATTATTGTTATTATCACATTCTGCAGAAAATTTATTTGGAGGGCCCCAGAGCTAGCTGACCTCATGTCCCCAGTTCTCCCTGTAAGTTCTCTAGGGTATGTGTACATTTCAAAGTATCCCATTTACACAATAGATGATATGGGTGCTACAGCTGTCTCTCTCTCTCTCTCTCTCTCTCTCTCTCTCTCTCTCTCTCTCTCTCTCTCTCTCTCTGTCATAAAAACAAAAATGGTGTGAAGGTTTAATATTTAAAAGTTTGCTATATTAAAAAACATGAAGAGTTTTACGTTGTTCCAAGTTTCGCATGATAACTCCTACCACATCCACTGACATTCACTTTATACCAAATAAACGCTTCTCCCTCTTACAATCTTTTTTTTTGCACTTACAATCTTTTAAGATCTTTGCTTCTTTCTTCTAAGTATGTAGTTCATTGACTAGAAAAGCCAAAATGATGAACAAATAGTGAAACTAATCTAGGTTCCTACTCAGGAGAAAATCCTTCCTCTGCCAAATGCCCTGCCTTCTCTTGGGATCTGCCCCTTCTTGCACAGCCCATTGGAGCTGGAATACCACACCCAGTTATAACACCTGGATCTAACACCTGGCCCTGGAGTAACTCAGCAGTGAGAATTTCAACTTCCTGGAAAACAGACATCTACATGGTCTCAGGGCAACATGGACATCAAGCAGGTGCACTGATACTTACTCTTTCAAGTCAACAGGCTTGCCTTTCTCTGCTTGGCACCTCAGGTTTTTGACCAACGCATCTCCATACTGGTTAATGATGGGCAACATCTAAGCACAAGGCACAATATTTATGGCTAAATCTGTAGACTCGGGCCCCAGAAAGAAGACATTCTCAATCATGAAGTGATATGTGACATACAATGATTAAGTTTACAACGGGCCTTCTCCACATAAAGACAACAGTCCATTCTTGCAAAGCTCCAACTCAGAGGGCCACACCTTGGAAAGAGACTAGGATCTTAGTTTCTTCCTCTCCCTAGATTCACTCTTAAATTTGCAATTAAAATTCCCTTATTTTCTTACTTCCTTGAGTTTTCCACTAGTGAAGGTTGGAGACAGCAGTGTTCGTATTCTCTTCCATTCTTCATCCTCAGATGCGGAGACAGCATTTTTCATAAATCCCACTGGACCAAGAGTCTATAGTTTGGAAATAAAGACATTTTATCATACTTAAGTTTAGAAATCACCACAGTAGAAATACTGGTAAACAGACATCCTTGTCTAACAAACATTTAGTGACTATTAGGCGGCAGTCCCCATGTCGGATGCTCAATAAGTATTTGTCACATCTACCTTGCCTTTTGTGAATGTGAACACTCAGCCTCCTAGAGTGCTTTCCTGCCTTTATGTTTCAGTTGCCTTCTAAATACCGTGCTTATTGTCATGGGAAACTGCTCTCCCATTCAGAAAGACTAGGAGAGTGGAGGCACACGTTATGCTCCACATGCTGCATCCAACTGTTTATTGCTGAAAGCTCAGAAAGCTTCACCACCATGGGACTAGAACAAAAGCAATTCCATCTTCCAAGATTGTGTACTGTAGAAATACATTGATGACAGACAGAAGGTAGCCTTGGAAAATTGTGTCTCTGATTACTCCTCAATTTATATTTAGCTGAAGCAAGAGCAGTGCAAAGAACAGGATGCCTTGATGTGGGGAATTTTAATATAAATATAAAATATTAGTAATGATGTACAATTCTTTGTGCAAGAACACAAGTGAAGAGAAATATACTTCTGTTTCTGTCTATATTATTTTGGAGACTTTGGTAGGACATCTAGACACAAAGCATCATAATTTCCCTACTTGAAACTATCTTGCAGCTTCTATAAATCTATTTTGTTTTAAAATGGAATCTTTCACATTCCTATTTCGTCAAAACTCAGAAAAGTAGGAAGAGAGAGAAAGTCCCTATACTTGAGAAATAGAATCTACAGAAAAGCCTTCAGATAACTTTATACTTCACATAACACGATACATTTTATCAAAATATTTAAAAGATTTTTGCATATATGTACAAGATGTTTTGGAATTTGGATGGAAAGGCATAGTGTCTAAAAGCTAAACTCGTTCTAGGGAAAAGTGTGAAAGGAATCACTTTCCATATCAGTACAAATTAAAATGTTCCTACAATAAACAACAATATGACACTGGAGATGGCATACACAGAATGATCAAGGAAAAAAAAATAGAGAAATTGACCTACACAAATGAACCAAAATGATCTTTGGCCAAATGTGAGAGCAGTTTAATGGTGGGAAAACAGCTTTCCCAAAAATGGTTTTGGAAAAACTGAACAGCCATAGGCAAAACAATGAACCTTCACCTGAACTGCCTAAATTATTTTTAAAAACACAAAGAAGATCCTTGCCTTAAAAGTAAATCATATACAGAACACAATGCAACTTCCACCAACAAAAAATACACACACATAGACTCACAATAGGTAAATCATTATCAGACTTGATACCAAAATCATAATCCTTAGAAGAGAAATAGATAAGATCCTGTCAAGGAGAAATAATTAAACAAAACAAACCAGATTCTACATCTAAAACATTGCCATGAATCTAGATTTTGACCCTGACATTATGTAAAATACACCCATAATGTTAAAATGCAGACAAAATTAGCTCCTACTTCAAGATAGGGATTCTGACAGTGATGTGGTTGATCAAGGTAGAGACAAAAGACAAACTATCTCCTCAGAGGGATCACAAGGTATACATCAATACTATAGAGAATAGGCAACAAACAGCTATCTATTATCTTGATTCTGCTAGCTATTATCAAAACATGTATTTGATAAATTTGCAGAGAGCTAAACAAAAACACACACAAACAAATGTGCTCTTATAAATTCGAGGAAATGTAAATAAACTACTTGGATTGTTTCCATGTCAGCCTCCAAATAGAGTAAACCCATAAGTTATGACCAAACTAACATATAAACAACTTGGGATATGACTGGAATTTTAGTTTTAACTTACAACCAAAGTCTTAATTTATGAACCAAATGCTAGATGCTTGTGCTCTCAAATGGTCTCAGATAAAGATTTAACCCTAAAAGAGTTCTGGAAGGAACATTGTCACATCCTTTCCTCTGTGGGGTTAATTGAGAAATTCTCTGCTATTGTCTCTCTAAGGACTCTGAGATTTGCCTGGAAGAAAGTGTGGCCAAAAATTGTGCAGGAGAGAAACTTGGAAGGCTGTGCCTTGAAAGTCTGAACCTTCAATTGACCAATCTGAGCTACCACCAGTCATTGCAAAGAAATTGATTTTGTATCTCAAGTATGCAACACATAACCACTAGCAAAAACAACATAAAATTCCATGTACATTGTTTTCACAAATTTCTGTGAGTCTATTTTTCAAAAAAGTTTTAGGCCAGGCATTTGGCTCAGTGGTTCTGCTGCATGGCCCAAAAGCAAGAGGTCCCAAGTTCAATCCCTGATACCAAAACTTTTTTTCATTGAGTTTTTTGAGACAGAGCTCACGATGTAGCCCAAGCTGTCCTTGAACTCCCAGTGATCCTCTTTCTCAGTCCTCTGAGGGCTGGAATACGGGCATGTGGCACCATGCCCTGCACAAAGTGGGAATTTAATAAATAATAAATGAAGGTTTACATTTTTTAAAGGGTTGCCTACCCGCCGGTTTGTGAACGCAGAATAACATTCTTTGACTAGAACTGCTTTGATCATGTCTGGTTCTGTGATGGCCAACACAGGCTGTCGACCATCATATGACCTGTGTTTGCAAAACAGAGATAATTAGTGCTGGGGATTTATCTCAGTGGTTCTGGGGCCCGCCTCGCAATCGCAAGGACTCAGGTTCAATCCCAGGTACCCCCCAAAAAGCACAGAGATAATTAAACAAAACAAACCAGATTCTACATCTAAAACATTGCCATGAATCTAGATTTTGACCCTGACATTATGTAAAATACACACATAATGTTAAAATGCAGAGCAAAATTAGCTCCTACTTCAAGACAGGGATTCTGACAGTGATGTGGTTGATCAAGGTAGAGACAAAAGACAAACTATCCTCTCAGAGGGATCATAAGTAGAAATACAACTGGATCTGTTCTTTAACTGAATAAGTGATGCGAACATGGGTCCTGAATATAACATTGTCCAAAATGTTTGCATGTTTACAACATTTCAATATCAGAGCTGGAGATGTACCTCAGTGGAAAAGCACTGGTGCAGTCTACATAAAGACCTAAGTTAACCCCTAACACCATAAAATTAAAATGAAACTTGGAAGCCTGTTACAAATCCTTTAATATCAAAAAATACATTACACCAGTGAAAATATCAAATTATCCAGTGCTCAGGAGTACTAAATATTGCAAGAGGAAACTGTGATAAGAGTAGGATCGCTCAATACTCTCTCTTCATGCCATTGGATCACATTGTCTTTAGGGGATATGTCCAATCTGTAGACCCTGGGGCCAGCAATGTGGTTCCTAAGGACCAATGAGATAGGATGAAGAGGTAGGAGGACCCAAAGCTTCCTCGCACCTGCTTGTGACACAAAGCCCATGACTACATCTCCCACTGCTCTCCAAGCCTCCAGCAGCTGTGAAAGGGAACAGCTGCTGCAGAGGGCCCAGATCTCCCCACAAAATCTCCGACAATGTAGCCCACAGGGGAATGTAGTTGTTCAAATGTGTGCTACATTTCTTTCTCAAAGCCAGAAAAATAGGGTAACCAGAAAATACCTGCATACAGGTCTGTTAAAATGTCTAGAGTTGAAATAAAAAATAAATAAAACGAACAGAAAATCTCTGCACGTGAAGAAGTTTTAAAATGCTGAGCATAAATTATTTCCCAAGTTGTTTATCTATATCTCTGTCAGTTTCAAAAGCACATATTAAATGGAAAACTGATACAAGAATATAGGAGTTCAAAGTAAAAGCAATATAAATTTATAATTTTATAATATGTATATAATTTTATATATTTCCTTATATATGGAAAGGAGATACAATCATACATTTAAGAGCACATATTAGCAGGGTCTGAATTACTACATTTCATGTAATTAAAGAGAACCTAAGAGAGGGACAGAAAGTAAAGCAAGGCGTCTCTGGGCCATAAAAGCATGGAAAAAAGGCATGATATGGGATATTCTCAACTTAATTCCAGTTATGGAACTTGACCCCTAGTGACCTAGGGGATGCTTCACAGGACAAGCCTCCAAAAGATTCAGAGTACACAAGTGCACATCTCATGAGCTCTGGGCAGACATTGCCCTCATGTATGGAGTGCCTCATTCTCACATGTGTACCCATTGGAAATTTCTGGAATACTCACCCCCATATCTTTCCATACTTTTTATAGCACTCTGTATCAAATTTCCACATGCCCTGAGAAGAGGAAAAAGTAAAAATCCATTATTGTTCTAAATGTACTGGCCCTAATTCTAATGGGGCACAAAGGACTCAAATCCTATGAAATCAACTTTACTATCTCTCAGTGAAGGGAAAAAGAAGCTTCTATTGGGGCCAGGGATTTAGCATAGCACAGTGATTCCACCACATGCCTCTCAAGCACAGGTCCCAAGTTCCATCCCCAGTACCAAAAAAAAAAAAAAAAAAGCTCATATTCACAGACAACTGAGAGGAAATATTGGAGACCTTCAAGCCATTCTTGACTTTCTCGAAACATTAAACATATTGAAAGAATTCTCCTTGACAATGAATATTAAGTAACTACATGGCTTTCTGAAACATTTTTGTTTGTGCATATTTGCCTCTAGAATCTTGAAAAGCTGTAAATTATTCCTTTCATGAGCACATGAGAAAACTGAGCCTGAGGAAAAGCGAGTGGGTTTCCAGGGGTTCTGTCCATTCTTCCATTGCCTTCATAAGCTCTTCATTGATCTCATGAGTCTGCTTGATAAATTTGGGTCAAATTAGGAAGTTGAAGGCACCAGGGACCACTTTAGTCTACAGGACTTATGGAATTCTCAGGGATGTTGTTGAGTGAGAAAGTTAGCAAGTGAGGAATGACAAAGTGGTCTTCCTAGCAGCACTCCAGTTTCACTTGGAAATATGGAGGATGCCACCTCTACACATAGGCATAGCAAATTAAATACTTCCTTTTTGAAACTTTAAGACTAATCTTCCTGCTGCTAAGTAGCAGCTGTGAATGATAATTATGCAAATGTAGATCCCAGAAACATGGCTCTTGGGGATCTTCTGTACTAAAGAATGCAACTGACAGATGAAGAGGAAAATATTTCTTTTGCGGTGGGGGAGGGGAGTATGAATCTTGAAGCCATTATGAGAAAATGAAGTCTTCACTTGCAAACCTTAGAGCCCAAAATGAGACTGGAATCATCAGGAAAAGAAGTCTGAGTAGAGAGCAGACTTCAGACAGGTTTTAGTGATGGCCTTCAGGACATGAGCTGCAGAATATCCCTCCAGGGGCTACACCCAGGACCAAGATTCATTCCAGGTTTCTTACAGGGACCAGACAAAATACACATTACATATTACATTATATTCAGTTAAACTGAATTTTTAGTATATTTCTAAAGTAATCCTTTCTCTAGTGATTTTGTAAAAGTGATTCTGTCTTTGTTTAGAAAAAGCAAAATTTGTTATGTTGTTTAATACAACAAGTTGATAGACAATCTCATTCTGTTTTAGATATGCTCACATTGCCTGCTCAGATTCGTCCATTTGGTGGTAACTTGAAGGGAAAGAAGCACAACAGAATACTCTCATTCTATTATTAACTCCTGAAAAAAACTCCATGGTATCAAAAGCTATGAGCTATGTATACTACAGAGGACTGAGCAGTGCCCGAGACAACTGGAGAATGTGTGAGTCCCCAGTGCAGAACACAAGGGCACTCTCATAAAATGAACATTGAGCAACCATCAGAAAAAAGAATCAAAGCTGCTCGTGAGCTCTTGGAAGAACAGGAAAGGTGGCATCTAAATGTGCACAGGCTGGTGAACTGCTCCTAGAGCATCTCTTCATGCTTTTTTTCCAAATACTGACACAACCATCTGTCCCTTTCTGGATCTATATTGTACCAAACAGAATTTTCCTTTTGATGATCACAACATCTGAACCTCATGTCCTGAGTACGGAATGTTGACATGCCAGAAATCTGTGGGGTCGAACTGAGGCAAAGCTGAGGCTCAAGACAGAGACAACAGAGCCCCAGTGCAAACGTGGCCCCAGCTATAGGTAGGACCCAGACACAGTTTCAGAACACCTACAATTCCAGGTCTTTCCACATAAGAAACAACTATTTTTCTGATGCAACAAGACCAGTGTTTGCCAAAGGATACCAAACCCTCACCTCTCTGTAGGCCAAAAGGTTTCCAAGAAAAGGCAGAGGTTTAGGCCCAGGAATTCCAAGTTTCTTAAAAAGTCCATGGCGATAGGTCCCATATCTATAAAGTGGAAAACAAATGGTCATGGAGATTGTGAATTTACATATATTGGAACTAACAAATCACTGAATAAGGAACTGGAAGAGTGAAGCCAGAGGATGTAGTAGGCTATATATGACAGCAAAAACAAAAGCAACAATAATGCATTCACTCAACATCTCCTTCCTCACCTCCACTGACAGTTTTCCTAAAATCACAATAATTAACTCAAATCATCTGAACTGTTCATTCTCCCAGTCTTACTTAATAAACACATTCAAATTTGAATCTTCCTAAGCGAATCAGGCTGTGATTTTCCCAGGGCATTTCATTTGCTTTTGTCCCAATTGGAGACTGATTCCTCCAGGAAGGAGAAAGATTCTCATTCCAGTAGAAAGACTGAGGAGTTCTTATTTCTCTAGTGATAAAATTTTGCCCAACTGCATCTACTCAGCAATAATGTCATGGAGATCCTGTGGTAACATTCTCCTGACAGTTTCTTCAAAGGCTTTCATGTTTATCATTCCCTGTAAGCCATGTCCCTGTTTTGTACAATCCAGTGCTTCTTAAATTTGCTTTACTAGAAAGCAATAGGAGCAGTCAGATTTTTTTAAAAAGTCCCAAATTTTCCCAGAGTCACGCAGTGCAGAAGAATGAATCTCTAAAGAAGGCATGTCTAAGGGGCTTCCATCTGGTAAGATTGACATGGGAAGTACAACATCAGCCATGCTCGGGTTTAATAAGACTATCAGCTTCTTGCCTCTGTATGTTGACTGTGCACAAAAAACATCTATTATGGCTAGTGTTCACCAGGGGAGGCATGCCTTCATCTCATCTTGGATGTGTCACATGCGGACTCCCAAACCTGGAGGTGATAGGTCCTACACACCTTCTCTCATTGATAATAATTACAGGTGACACACTTCAGAAAGAAAAGAAGCTGAAGAAGGAGGCTGCTGACACCCATGTTAAGCTTATAGCTGCTAGTCCTAAAAACTACACCCCATGGCAGCCAAATGGGAAAGCATGGCTAAAAGTGTGGTATGTACAGGTAATCAATAAACCTGGAAGTACTTTCAGCTACAAGAGAGGGGACCTTCCAAAGCAACCTTCCTGTAGACAAATACATGATGCAATAAATATTAAGACACCATAACATGCTCCAAATAGTTGAATTGTATCTTCTTATGTAAATATGATGATTTAAGGCATATAGGCTTCACTATCCTGTACAAATCTAGTTAATGTTGTAAAATCATAAAATGAAAAACAAATCTCGTATGAAAGGATCTGTGTTGGTAGGACTTATGAGGGACACATCAGCAAAGCCCTGGTAAGTATTAAGATGATTCCCCAAGATCCAAAATTGCTCTGCTCTAAAATTTGTCTGTTAGGGGTAAATAAATCCACATAATTCTGGGTAGAAAAATTGAGTTTTAGGAGGGATGGAATTTTCAGGAAAATTTCTCAGAAAAGAAGGAAGTGTGGAGTCAGTCCTCCCATGAAACCTGGGGTACACTGAAGAGATTTGTGTGAAGCATGCTGGGGGGTCTGTGGGGGGAGGATGAAATACCCTGTCCTTAGGGGACAAGCCTTCCACACATCTCTTGCTGAAGAAATAACACCGAAGGAAAACAATATGAGACACAACACAAACCAATACAGCTACCCCAGAATTTCCAAAGGTTGGGAAGGAGGTGAACTTCCTACTGCACATGGCAAGAAATTCTTCATGATCTGTCTCTGCTAAGTTCTGGTGCAGTACTCTAAGTTCAAGCTAACAATCAAATCATCCCCAGGAGAAAAATTGTGCCAACAATCCTCCCAGCCAGAGGAATATGGAGCTACAGCAGGGGAGACTGGGATGCTCAAGGTACCTGCAAAAGGTCTGTAGAAATCTCTTCTACGTTTGTAGCAACTTTCCATCCATAATCTCTTTTTATCATCCAAACATATAAGGGAAACAGAGGTCTGATCCTACCCAAAACCCAGAGACAGAAGAAAGGATCCTGGAAAATTACTCACTGATACAGAAGCACCAGGCTGAGAGCCAGGAGAACCCAAGATTCTAAGGAGAAGTCCATCTCCTTCTGTGATTGTCTCCTCTGAGTTTCACTTCAAGCTGATTTCAGGGCTATGTCTTCAGAGCTTCCCTTGGGTGCCCAGCACTGATTCAGTTAGAATGGCATGAAATACTTATGTGCTGCAAAAGGTGGTGGGGCTAGAGCAGCAGCTAGTAGGAAGGCCAGCTACAAATGCCCTGCAGTTGGGAGGAGACAGATGCACTCTCCAGCTTGTCAGCTGACAAAGCATCATGCACATTCTTACTTTGACCTCCTTTGAGATCATTTTCTGTGGAAAATCAATACAATTCAATCAACATTATCTCTAAGTCAGAGGTTGTTTATTCTTAGCAGGAATGTAAGCCATAGGCATGAAATTTCCTCCAACCTCCCCTTTGCATAGTAGTCTTCATGGCTACTCTCATTCTGAAGTACATAAAATTGACTCAAACAAGGTATATCTGTAGATGTTTAAAAATCCATGCACCTAGTCTGCCCCTGTGTCCCATAGAAAACTCTTAATACTCCTTTAAAATCCAAGAGGATCACCACTTGAAGCTCAGCCTGGGCCACTTAGCAACATGGCAAGACCCTGTCTCCAATTTTTTTTTTAATGACTGGGGATGTAACTCACTGTGAATGCCAAGAGTTCAGTCATCAGTAGTGCAGGAAAAAAATGAAGACCAGGCAACTCCTCCTAATGGAGTCTTCACCAACCACTTCTGTTGCACAAATTCTGTCCACTTTACACACATCTATTCTTTACTCCTTTCATCACCACTGCTGATTTCCAGAATCTTTCCATCACCAGGTTGAGAAATTGTCAAAGTAATACTCTAGGTATTATGTTCCTATCCCCTAGTAGGGAATTTTACATAGAGAGGGTATACAGTCAAGTTGGGTGTGTTGAGCCAGGAGATTGATGGGCCTCGTCTTGAACTTTCCTGTAAATCTTTGGTGTCATCTTTCTTCATTGCTAATACAACAAAAGGAATCCCCTGTGACTCCGCCACCATTACAGAAAGTTCAAGTTGCCCTTCAAAATTATACGTAGAGGATGGCCTTTGATGGAGAAATACAACATTGGTGAGACGGGGCTTACGATTACACTCAGCAGTATCAAATTATTCCACTCTTCTAGCAGCCCCTCTAAACAGGGTCCACCACAGACAGTATGTCTGCCAGAGTCTGGAGCAATGGCACAACCTCTCTGGATAATTCCATGTCCAAGATCCATGGATATGAGAGAGAAGAACAGCCTGCATTGCCAGGTGGATCCCAAACACCTTAACCAAATCAGCAGAAGTCACTAGAGGCAGCACCTGGCTTGCAGGACTCCAAACAGATGATTCCAGCTTTTAAGAGAGTGGACAACAGGAGTCTGATAGCTTTTTGGTGAATGACTGACTACCTGAATGGTTGAAGGGGAGATCTTGAAAAATGAGGACGACGTCACTCATAACAGTACTGACTGTCACCTATGAGGCCCCACAACATTTCTGTTTGGAGAAACTTCAGCACGGAGTGCTTGGAAATTACACAGGCTCCTTATTGTCACTCTTACTCATGTTCCACTTCTTCTTAGGTTGAGCAACTGAGGACTACATGATCAAAAGGAAAACCTCAAAGTTCTTAAAAGCTCAGCATAAATAGAAGACACCTGAGTCAAGCTTGTGCACATCTTTCTCTGTATTATTTCTGCCTGTCAGCCCTTCTTCAGAGACTGACACTCAGTCCCCATGTACTCCTCTCATTATTCTGGCTTATCTCCTGAGCAACTTGACATGGGCCTGAATAGGTGGGTATCTCGTGGGTAAAATGTAGTTTCACAACGATCTCACCTTCCTCTTTTACTTTCATAGGAGCTCGTTGAGCAATTTGAAACTTTTACCATCGTACTGTGTCACCTTTGAGTGAAAGCTTTGCCCAGAAGGCTCCAGAGAAAAATATGGCACTTTCTTTGTACTGCACATGTACATGCTTAGATTCATGAAGGACTCATCACACCTCAATAGGGAGAGAGAAATGTAATTCAAGGGATCTCTCTCCTAATTCTCTCCACCAAGACAAGTTCACAGAATGTGTTCAAACAGGAAACACAAGAATATAAGCCCATAGCTGTGGTCCATTTCATTAACTCCTTAAACTCAAACCCTCCTGATTCTTATTTGGAAACTAAATCCCTGTGGAAATTCATACATATTGATTTCCCTCCAAAACACATATTTTCTAAGATCATGTTATCTCTAGAGTTAATATGAACTTCCACCTCCCATTCTTATCTCAGACCTGTGCAGTGTGCTGGAAAACTGTGTCAACAGACGGAAAAAGGTTAGTCATTGCTTGGGAGCACAATGTAACCACCACCATATTCTTACCAATGCAAAGTGTCTTGTTCTGCAATGGGGAGATGAAACATGGCAAATACTTTGAGCAATTCAATCCATGCAAGTAATATCTCCTAACATAAACAGCCTTACACATGAAGATATGTGGAACATGTGAAGAAGTCAGACACCCCTAGATTCCTTGATTCATTCCAGTACTGATGCACTCACCATGCCATTTGAGTGGAGATACCATAGATGGAACTCAGGACCTTGTGCTTGCAAGGCAGGCAGGGTGCTGCTGAGCTTAATCCCTGCCCTTCACCATGCGATTTTAAAGCTTCTCTATAAGCACAGTGGAAACAAAGGTGACTAAGCCCAAGATATTTTTCTGGTTGAAAATACAAACAGATAACTACAATTCAGTCAAGTAAAAGTAATCAGAGAGGTGTGATAAATCTTTTAACAGCACTGAAGAGCTGAGTTGCTTTTCGGCGTCCTTTAAAATAGATCAAAATTTATTAGTGATATTTATAGCTAAATTGATGCACATTGAGGCAATATTCTTGATATAAATAAGACACGTGTAAATATTGAATAGTTTCTCTAGTGTGAGAAACTAAAAGTGTAAATAAGGACTAAATGTTATTAATAGATAATGTGAAATAGGAAGAAAAGGGACAATGAGGAAGGGGAAATGGGAGGGGTAGGAAAAGGAAAGAAGGGAATGGAATTAATATGAGAAAATGAAAACTAAAGCAAATAAAGTCTTTGTAAATAGTAAGGGAAGGAGGGGTAGCCGGGAGAGTGGGGAATGGAGAAAAATCAGAAACAAGGTTGATTATGTAAAGGCACAAATTTCCAACAATCAATGTCACTATTTTGTATACATGAAATGTACCAATAAAATTAATAAAAATAAATAAATAAAATAGAATGGATCAAAATTGAATCTCAAACAACACCCAGAGAAGTATAGGTTCACATACTTTAAAGAGTGGACAGGTTGCCCAGGGACTCAGTGAGGTGAGCCATCAACTGACACTTCTGATCATTTATCAGTGATCCAAAGTGATACGTCTTCTAGGACGTCTGCCCTGACCTGGGAATTTTTGAACATTTTATTCAAATTTCATAATTCACAACGGTGACTATGCAAACAGAAATAAATAAAATCAATATGTTTGTCTAATTCAGCTTTCAAGATCCCCTTCTTCTCAGTGGGGCAAAACTTGTTCTTGCCATTTGGGGAGCCAGGTCATATCTAAGATTTGATGGTTGGACAATAACAGTAGCCCACTGTTCTGGGTCTCCTCACTGTAGGAGGGAGAAGAATCTCAGATCTGAGACATACTTTCAGGATTAGAGAGGGTGGGTATCTCACTCAATACCATCAGATGTTAGTGGAGCTGAATGCCTGCTGTGTTCAGGACACATACAAAGTATTACATTTGTAAGAGTCAGAATCTCAGCCCTCACACAGTTTGCATTCTATTAGGGGACAGAAAGACGGTAAAAACTAACCACACCTTTAGAGATATACAAGGACATGAGGGAATGTGAAAGTGGTAAAGGTAATGAGAATGAGATAACATATTCCAATTCTCCCAAATGAACACTATTAGTCTGTAATTGAATTGTGCACCAATAAAAAACAAATAAAAATACCACACAAATAAACACTGAATTATAAATTTAGATGAATGCTAAGAGGTACAAAATCCTCTGCTGAAGCGCCCAGAAGACTTGACACAGGTGACCCTTCTTTCTTTGCTTCAGCTGTGGCCTCCTTTGAAAGACGCAAAGAAAACAGAATCAATAGGACTTGGTGGATGAGAATGTGTGGCCTTGGGCATGCCTTGGCCTTGTTCTTTGTCTGAACCTGACAGAAATTGGCCAGAGCTGATATAAGATGACCAAAGATCCCATTATCCAAATCACAGGACTCCATCAAAACTGCCAGCTTCCCTCTAGGATTTTCTAAAAGACAGGCCTTACTCATTACTCTCCTTATCTCATATATCACTAGGATCTCCTGGATTCTCCAGCTCAGTCAAGTACCAAGAGCTCCTGAGGAAAGAAGGGAACACAAGACTAAGATCCACTGGACATGGGAGAAATTATCCACCATGGACACACTGAGATCTACATTCTACAATGCTTTCTTGACTGAGAATGTTGAGAAAAAGACATCAGGCTCTGGGGGGTAGAGAAGACAGAGACGGGGGATGGAGCAAACACAGGGAGACAGAGAGAAACATATCAGATAGTAATAGCTAATGTTTACTGTCCTGTGTACTTTACCCACATTAGCTGATATACCAACTATCCTGGGAGAAAAGTATTATTATGATTGCAGAATCACAATTAAGCAAACTATACTCCTGAAAATGAGTAATATTTATCTTTTCTCAATTTTTATTTTTTTCATTAGTACATGTTTGCAGTAGCTCATGAAGTGCATGTGCATAATACATCTTGAGTCTTTTTTCATTCCCTTCCTATCTCCTCTTTTCCTCTCCCACTATCTCTTGGCCCACTTCCATTTACAAAAGGTCTGAATCCCTAGTTCCTATTATCCATTTTTTATTTTGCCCTTTTTTACATTTTGGATTTCCATTATAAGAGAAATCATGTGATATTTGAGCACATGTGTCTGGTTACTTCACTTAATATTATGGTTTTTAGGTGCATCTATTTTCCTACAAATGACTCTCAAGCTTTTCTTTCTTCATGGCAAAGGAATTACTCCACTGTGTATGAACACCATATTCTTATGCATTTATCTGTTGACGGACATACAGGCTACTTCCAAGAGTTAGCCTGGCATTGCATCAGTTATAG